TACAGTGCACACAAATTACAAAATACTCCTGATGTTTCTAGCTGAATTTCTTAATGCAGCAGTTTATTCTTAGCCTTAAATGATTTTCTAAGTACAAAAAAATTCATAACATGGGACCTTAAGAAGTAGCAATCATATTATTAATTAATAGTGTTTCAAGAAAATGTCCTGCAAACCATTTTCATCTCACTGACTTTCAGTAAAAAAATTTGCTCTGATGTAGAAGGGAATAAATTTAATCTGTGGTAAATAAACTGTAGAATGAACTTAACCTTTGTCTTTTAAATCTGATACAATCACAAACCAATTCTGCCTTTAGTGCATTAATCCATTATTCACAAACAATACATGAGAAAAATACACTCTGAGTTGTTTCCTTATTATTCCCAGAAACTATTTGCTGTTCACAGGAGTTGACCAGCTTAGTTAGGAGACATCAATTTTGTTTCATAATTGGTCAATGAAACAAAAAGGATAACGGCAAATTCTTGACCTGTGCATGGTACTGTCATCCAGAGGCAAATACAGATTCCTTTTTAGGAGTGTATCAAAATACCATGGGAGTCAGAAGAGCTACTCTCTGTAAAGCTGTTCCCAGAAAAATCAGCCTGGACTGGCAGAAGTCTGGACTTCCAGACAGTTTTGGAAACATTTGACCACTGTTTCTTTGATACAGCTTTGTGCCTCATATTCTTACAGTTAAACTACTCCTAGTGTGTCTACCAAGCAAAATGCCATCAAAAAGCAAGAGTTTCATACAGAAATGGTATTAGAATGGTAATTAGTGTCGCATTACTTGAGGTGGGAGATAGATGACCTTTAAGGTCCCTTCCAAAGAAACATTCTATGATAATTCATGATGGATTTACACGTTTTCTTCTTCTCACCTGTCATACACGGCAACTAGGAGGCTCAGCGTGAATTCAGCAGCTCTTGGATCTACCTGGCCTGGTTTTTCTAATCTTGCCCTTTGGAACAGTTTCATCAGCATTCCAGAGATCTGCTGCACATTCAGAGAAACATGTTCTTCCCTCTGGCTCTGTTCACTTGATAGGATGTGCTGAATCAGAGAAACATCAACCAAATCCACTGTGGGAAAATTAAGGGAGAAATGAATGAGGATCCCTGCCTTTTCATGAGTGGAAACGTGACAATATTTATTAGAAATGCCTAGCCAAGACAAGTCTGTAAAATGAAGTCTAAACCAGTGTGCAACACAAAAAAGATTCTCAGATTATTATCTGAGAAAGGTCTTGCTGAGTTTATGAATGTAGCAAAACTTGTGAGGCTACAAAGATAGAACAACTCAATTAAAATTCCCTGAATGTGATTTTGGGCTAAATATGAAGGGGAGAAAACAGCATGATTAATTACATCCAAATTGTAGAGGAAAATGTTATGATCAGCTGCATCCAAATTATAGACATAGGTTTTATTCTACATATAGATAGCATAAAACTGCACAGTTTTACTGCAGGAGAAAGCTCACCTGGGACTATGAAAACATTTTCTGCTTTGATCTAAGCTTCCTCGTCACGCTCAAATACAAAGAGAAGGGAGGTACTATGGCCAAGAAGGGGTAAACAGGCTTTATTGTAAATTTTTCATGGAATAACTAATATCCCATAGGAAGAGAGCTTATGGCTTCTTAAAGGTCACATTCAGTACCACAAAGGCATGATCAATTAGTATTAACACCAGAAGAGAAAGGCTGTAGTAGACTGAAAGTCTGTAGATTGCTGAAGAAGCAGAGAACCTAGGTCACCTGTGGTCTTTCCAGCACAGATAGGAAAATTACAGTGTGACACACTGGTGAAACTCAGTCTGGAAACCCATGAGCAATTCTAGCCACCAGTTTTCAAGGAGGAATAGAGTAACTGGGAGGGATTATCTGAGTGGCTAGAGGAGACATGGAGGACCAGGCAACAGAGGAAATGAAAACCAATACCTGTGTACATTGGTACTTCCACACTGACACACAGCACCAGGCAGATTTACCATATCAGAGCTGAGATCAGATTAAATATATTTATGTAAGAGCATGTCCAAATGAAAAAATATATGGCCAAGGCAAACAAACTAGTCACCTTTTCTGTGCTACCCTGAAGAGCTCACTTGCAATGTTGTGCATTGTCAGCAACAGATTGTTTCAGAGCGAAAACCCAATATTTCCATGAAATTCAGCCAAATACGGAATTTACATCCACTAATTTCAAAGTGAGCTAGGTGACCAGGACTTTATTCCACAATTCTTTGCTTGCACAGCATTCTCCCTCACTTCAAAGACAGGGAGAATGAATGCTAGCCATGGGTTTTCTGGTCTATTGTACTTTATTTTGCTCTCATGAATACCTACAGTATCAATAAGAGTGCCAGTCAATGCATTTTCAACAATCCATGATTATTTATAATAAATCAACTCTTAAGAAAAAACAGAAAAATTTGACATTTCACAAGCTTAATTATACACATATAAAGATTCATATTTGCCAGTGATGTCTACACAGCAGTGTTTTAGATTGTAGTAACAATTTGATTCTCCCATCATTTCAGAATTTTACTGACATTCAAAAGGGGAAAAAAACTCAATTTGTACATGAAGGACTATCTAGATTTTCAGTGTTTCTAATGCATTCTGAGATTCTCCGGTGGAAATGAGAGAGCAAAGTAGCATAATCACTCAGGGTGACAGCAATGCAAATTTTTACAGATTGTCTTCCCTGCAAAAGCACAGGATTCTCTTCAGCTACTAACACTGGCATAGACTTTGTACTGAGCGGAGTTTTAGGGCTGTTCTGTAGACGGAGCTCTGAACATCATTGAAAGCCTCTGTGAAAGAGAACAAACACATATTACAATGGAGTGGCTTGTTTAAAAATAATAAAATAAAGCCAAAAAGTCAAAACAACTGATTTTGGAGTTGGGAGTTGATCAAGAAGGAAAATTTGGGGGCAAAAAAAAAAGAAAAAAAAAAAGAAAAAATGTTCTTTTCTTTTCAATAACTTTTTGGGGAAAATGGTCTTCTTGTAACCAGTGACACAATGAGACTTTAGCCTAGAGAGCATACCTGCTTCTTTGGGAATGAAGTTTATTTGTGGGTCACAAAAAGGGTTATGCACTGCACATACTTTTAGCCAAGATCATATTGAAATCATATTTCTGCAGGCAAACCAGTTTCTTGATCAGAGATGCACTTCTACAAGGAACAGTTTTGTCAGCTCAAGGAACAGCACAGCAGGGTTATTGTTTTGGATGCATATTGTTTCAAGGATTAAACAAATCTTCTGTCAAGATCAACACCTGGGACACTTGCAGAAGAAAAAGCAATTTACCAGAGCAACTGGCTTTTGATATCTCTGCTTAGTAATCCCACTCAAACTGCTTGACTAAATCCCATACCCTTACATGATTTCAGTTTATTTCTTTCACATCACTAGAGGATGTTTTCCCGAGTGGAAAGTAAGGGCTGCTAAACATGACCTATACCTAATATTTTACACACATACCTAGAACTCCATGATCAAAAAGAAAGGTCTGTTCACTAAACTTTAGAAACTAGAAAGAGATTTATCAGTTCTCCTCCTCTCCTCAGAGACTCATTCTCCCTGCACTTCAGAGAGGAAGAGTTACTCACAGTTGATTAAGGTCAAAGACAAGCAACATATATGCATAACTGAGTAGAAATAACTCACAAAACTATCTACCTGTTCATTCTGGAAATGAGCCAATCTGTGTGCAATGGCTTCCCACAAATGTACCAGATTAATGTTAAAAGTCAGCAAATTATGAGCTCTGATGGTTCCCAGATGATGCCTAAACTATAGAAAGAAATCAATAACTGCTATACCATCTGTTTAGTCCTGCTCTTGTCATACTATGTTTTGTGATATTATTGGAGATGTAGTGTAGCATGTCATACAACGTGAAAAATGAGTTTTTACTTCCACGCATCGTCAACTCTCTTTCTTCAGTAAACTGATCCAAAGCCCTTCTGAAAGTTACAAAAAAACTCCCACAGTTTTCAGTAGGCAGTGTATTAAATTCCAAATGCTTATTTTCAAATACAAATGCTAGAAATATACACATGGATCCAACTCAAACACCTTCCATGTGCAAGATGACTTTCTAAGTGAAGGGAATCTGTTTCAGTAGCCATCTGCTACTCAATTCAGGTCCATCCTTACAGACAAAATGTGGCCTCAAAGTAGGACATTCTGTGCCTGTCAAGCACAGTTCCAGAATTAACTTGTGAGAGCACAGAAGTAAAATAGCAAAGAAAAAAAAGCCCAAATAAAATACAAAGATTATTATTTATGACAGGCTATTTAGGGGCATGAAACTCTTTTATTTCTCCTAGGAATGGATCTTCCCCTTTGGAGAGAAAACCAGCAGGCAATCATTCTGCAGTGGGTCAAATTTCCCCTCAAGAAGCATAAATGCCCTTTGTTGAGAAGCTGACAAAGGAGTTCCTGCACATACAGAATGGTGTGTTGTTTCCTTCATCTTCAGCTGGTTACTTGCTAGTTCTGCATTTTGTGCTACTTGTTCTGTAGCAGATGAAGTATCTGCTAAGATTTTGCACTCAAAAAGGGGGTGTATGACCATCCTTCATGCCTATTTGAAAACATGGGGAAAAACTTAGCATATATTATAAATTAGGGAACATGGCCCTCGTGTGCCTGACCATTCCATGAGCCAATGTGATAATGGCAAGGAAGGTGACAGGACAGATCCAAAAGTAAAGGTAGGACATTACAGCTGTGTAATTTGTCATTTATGTGCTACAGCACAGAGCTTCTGAAGTTGGCATGACTTCATTACAATTCAGTAGTTTCTGTTCAAAAAGACACCGAAATGCCACTCGAGAAAAGCTGGGAAAAAATATTCAGTAGTTTCTGTTCAAAAAGACACAGAAATGCCACTTGAGAAAAGCTGGGAAAAAAATAAGAAAAACCCTTACCCTCCAAGTCTGGATCCATTGGAAACAAACAGACAGCATTAGGCATTCTATAATAAAACAAACCAAAGTGTAAAACCACATGTTCTAGACAGAGACATATTGAACCTTTCAAATAAAACCTTTTAATCTGAACAATTTATGGGATGCACTGCAGAAATTAAACAGAATTACATAAAACAACCTAATAGTTTTGGTGCCATGTGCAGAGAAACACCAGCAAATTGCAAGCTCTCTGCCCAGTATAAAGTAGGAGCAACTTGAGGAACTGCAAAATTGTAGCAGGGCAAAAACAATTCCCAAAACAGTTTCAAGTACAGGAAGTGGGATCTTTCACTATCAAGAGTTTAGTGTTTATGTGCAGGATTACTACACAGTCCATAGTGTATAACTTTGGGTCACACAGGTCACATTTCCTTTTTATCAGACTCTTCCCAACATTCATTGACTGCAATTGCTCACAAATATTTTCTAAGTTTTTCAAACAGAACTAAAGTTTTCGGCTGAGCTGACATTATTTCTTATTGAGTTGATATGGAAGGGAAAAAGGAAGCATAACCATAAATCTACTTATTTAAACAGCCCTGAAAGCAAAAGTAATTATGTCCCTCATAATAATGGAAACTGAGTATCTCCCCTGAGGATTTCATTAATGCTCTAAACTACATATTTTAAACACAAAAATTATAAATATTAATTAAATATAGTAACTGTCTGTAACTATCTTTCAGCTGACATTACAGTTGAAAAACACTAGGTATGACAGATCTAAGTTGCATGAGATTCCAGAGGCCACATAGATGGCTTACTGTGGAGGAAAAAAAGGGAAATTTTGCTAGAATAAATAAAAAAAAAAAGTTGAAAATTGACTAAAACTTAAATAATAAATTTGGTATTAAATCTGAACTTAAACAAATGTTCACTTAATTACATTTTCCCAGTGAGAATCATTGATCATTTGTCATAAACATGACAGAATACTGGCCAATTATGAAGAAAAAATATTCAATGATCTATAATTATAGACTCTGCCATAAATATGCTTCTCATCATTTTAATAAAAAAAAAAAGTTGAAAATTGACTAAAACTTAAATAATAAATTTGGTATTAAATCTGAACATCTGAACATGTTCACTTAATTACATTTTCCCAGTGAGAATCATTGATCATTTGTCATAAACATGACAGAATACTGGCCAATTATGAAGAAAAAATATTCAATGATCTATAATTATAGACTCTGCCATAAATATGCTTCTCATCATTTTAATTGGTGAAAGCTGCAACTTTGTTCTTCAGTCTCCAAATAACTTAAATCTAAATACTTAAAATGATGGGATACAGATTTGCTCTAATAACCTTTTATTAAAGACTACAATGCCACAGTTTTTATTGAAGTTCTTCTTTGAAAGAAATACCACTATGTTTCTTTTCCATTATTCTTCTATTTTCTTCCATACTAAGGTTTAGAGCTTGGACTCAACCCTGGGTTCTGCACGACTACAAGCTCTGCCCAGCATTTACACAGACATGTAATGTTATGTATATATACACATGCAAACATATATGCAGTATATATGCCAATATGATTCAATTGCTCCTAAAATGGGTGTAGTAGTAGATGCTTCTGTATACCCTGACAGGAAAGTGCATTAGGGAAATCAATGAAACCAGAAGATTCCAAGCAAAGAATTAAAAGTGTTTAGTGATGTAGCAAGCTAAAAGGTAAACTTACAAACTCACAGCTTGTCTCATGTTTTCCTCCCTTTTTTCTCTCTGCATCAATGGTACACAAAGCAAGAGGATGGGATGAATGTAAAAACAGTCAGGTTAAACTCACCTAAATTAGAACTCATGAGAATTTTCTTTCAAATAAGAGCAGAACCACTGACCTACTAAATGCATAATCCATGAGTATTTGATACTGTAAGATGACAAGATCTCTATTGAGTACAGTGCAATGTCTAACATTTAAATTATCCATATGGATAAGTCCCCTATAGCCTTGTACTAGGGTATTCAAAGTTTCAAAGTTAATTATGTGTTCATGTGTTTTACCAAACTGGCCATCATTGTACATCATACCTATGAATTCTCCCCAAAAAAAGGTTCATGTGTTTTACCAAACTGGCCATCACTGTACATCATACCTATGAATTCTCCCCGAAAAAAGTTACAAAAGACATTATTAACATATGCACAGTATACATTTTTATATACACAACTCTGTGGACAGTCCAGATCTTGACTGCAGTAGGAATGCCTGGATGAAATTAACAGGATCTACTTCAGTGTGAGCATATCTACTTTATAATTAAATTAATATGAAAGAAGAAGCAGTATACACTGTTTCAGTCAGTGTGTTATATTTCAGCTACTTGTGCCCTTTAATAATGAAAAACACAGAAAAAAATCAAATTTATGTATGAATGTACAGGAAATAAACTTTTACAATTATAAACCCTGGTCTCATTAACACAAATGCTCCCATGTGCAGAACAAGAGCAGCCTTTTCATTGAATTCTATTGGAATGCGAAAGAAAAGTAACATTTGATTACTTATCTGTCCTTTGTTTGCCTTACAGGTTCTCAGAATATGTACTTTAGCAAAGAAAACAAATTTTAAGCATGATACACAAGTTACAGTACAGAGAAAGACAAGCCAGAAGAACTAAGGCAGAAACCTCCCAATAGACTGACTGACTTGATCACAGAAACTTTTCTTCTTTTGAAATCAGACAACATATGCTGAACACTTTAAATATGCATAAAATAACCTACAATTACTTCTGTTTCCTGTGAAGGGTGAAAACAGTCTATGTTGTGTTCAAAGGCCAAAATTATTGTCTCCTCTTAAATGCAGTAGCTGTGCTTACCTTTCTCTCATTACTTACTAAAGACCCAGAAGTCAGATGACAGCACCAAAGAGAAGTCCAGTAGTTTTATAGCACTTAAAAGTTGACTTCAAGGCACAGTTCTAAAGGTTTTGCTTTTAAATTAATGCTGCTCACAACAAATGCCTGGAAAGGCCCAGATCAAAGTATCAGGTATTTGTTTAAGCAGTCAAAACAGAGAACACTAATTAATTAATAATAAATATCCTGAATTATTAAAGATAAAACTTCTTTGATCTTTGTTTCAAAGCAATTTTTTTAAGGTTGGAGTGCAATGTTTCTAAATTGAGGGGCCTTTACTAAGCATCTCCCAGTTGCTGAGAAACAACGTGATAGACACTGAAAATGAGGTGGAAACTGCAGCAAGCACAGGGGGCTGGAACAAGGATAGACACTGAAAATGAGGTGGAAACTAGCACAGTAATGCAGCAAGCACAGGGGGCTGGAACAAACAGCTGCTGCAGCTACACAAAGAAGAAAAATAGTAAGCCCTAGTGGTAATGCCTAGAACAAGAATAGTTCAGACCAGCCAGAAAGCTAACACTCTTCAGTACACCCAAATGCTAGGGTTTATGCAGGACACATACAACATTTGCAAGACACATACATTTAGCTTCAAGCCCTTTTTCATAAAATTTTTCAACAGTTACTCCAGCACCCAGGCAATAGGATTCATCAATGCTATGAATGTCCTGCATACACAGCATTACTCAGTAACTTGTGAGAAAATGGGTACAGGAAACTACTTGTTACTTATAGCAAACCCAAACTTGGTGATGACTCAGTCAATCACTGTATTACAACTTGTAACCAACTTTGAATATTTTACCATATTTCAGCTTTCTTATTTTTATTCTTTCTTTCTCTCCTAAGCAAAAGCTAGGAAAAGAAACTTTTCCATTCTATTATGCTTTCATGAGGGAAGACCTGAATTTCCCTGCAGGCCACTAGGCAAATCCAGTTAGAATAATTTAGAATACAAGACACATCTAAGACTTTTTTTTGTCTTTCTCCTCCCAGCATCTGAGCAGAAATTCCATGCCTGTGGTTTTCAGGTAATGACTCAGAATTCTGACAAGCCTGCTTGGGTATTGCAGAAACAGTTATTTTCCTTCTCATTAGCAGCTGTGCAGTGTTGGTGCTTGAATTGCAGCCTGTTAGAACTACTATCTCCACAGGCAGAATGAACGAATTATTGAGGAAAAGACTGCCAAATCATATTCCATATAGAAAAGAATGAATGTAAATACATATTAAAGAAGTTAATTTTCCTCTCCTGTCTTGGAGGAGCTATGGAACAAACCAGGTAGTTTGTAAAGACTACTGGTAGCATCCCTCCTTGCTATGCTCTCCTGAGGCATCTGCCTCCAGATGCTACTCAGAAACTCAGCCAATTTTATGTGCATACACTGCTAGAAACTAATTCCCTGGGTATCACTTCCTCATGACATGAATGATTCCTAATCTCTTCCTTCAACACTATTTACAGCACCTGCCTCTACAACTTGAATGTGAACTCTTCCATGAAGACAACAGTATCTGTTCCTCTAAATGTTGCATCTCCCATATGCACTTCACATAAACCCCCACATTCTTCCAACTCCCTTGTGACACCTCAAGCTTTCTGAGCTCCTTTTCCTAAGAGCAGTGAGACACTCTCCTCATCCTGCCCAAGTCAGCTGATAAATAACAAATATACTCCTCTTGGTTTACTCATATAACAACAGGAAGTCTACCCCTCGTCAGAGTCTGAACCTCCACTTGAACAGAAATAATGAAGTCAAAGAATAGGAAACTTTTTATTTTGCTTTAAACATATCTGATAAAAAAGTAGCAAGTACAATAACATCTCCTTTAACACAGTCTCCACTTTTTAAGACACCAAAGACATGCAAGTGAAAGCTGTTCCTCGACAATTCTGTTTAGACAAGGACTTAATCAATTACATGTTTGACTTAAAACATACGTATTGTCTTGAAACTCATGAAATTAAAAAAACCCATGGAGACAAAAATTATCTTGTCACTAAGGAGATGTGTGGATGTGTATTTTTGTGTTAAAAATTAATTTTGCTAAGAAGATACATTATTACATAAGTACTGTGTTTCTATACATCTGAAACGAGTATCTGAAGTAATAAAACTGCTACTCTATGTGTGACAGTCGTGCTGAAAATTTTCATAGTATGAACTTTCAGACATTAAACTATGTTTTTTGCAACAGTTTATTGGTCTGAAGAAATAAGTCTGAAGGAAGACCTAATTGGTCTGAAGAAATTTTATTTATTTCCTGTAGGATGCACATAAAATCCCAGATTCAATAAAATCAGTAGGAATTTTACTTTGGCCTCCAGGTTAAGAATGCTATATTTACACTGGTTTTGAAATATTATTCTGCCTAGAGATTTCCTGTATGTTTTTACGAGAAAGAGACCACAAAGGCTATGACAATGTTTAGACTTTATTCGTACTTTACTCTTTTGAGCAATGGAGAGTTTAAGTCAGTATGGGAATTTCCAGAATTTTCTCTTCCAGACTGCTCTGGCTAAAGTGACCCAGCAGGCAAGGTTTCCATCTCTGTAAAAAAAAGCAAAAACATTACATATTTCTGCCAGCATCCTAAAATACTTACACATGCAGAAAGGTACGTAGGGCACTTCAGGAATACTTGAACACCTGATGTCACAAGAGTAGGCCACAACTAAGCAGCCAGCTGACAGCAGTGGGAAGGGCTCTGCCTAGTGTTTAATGCAGCCATAAGAGGAATGGGACAGCTCTACAGAAAAGCAGTGCCATGCACAGAGAGAGCAGACAGGGAAGGACACTCCTGTCTAACTGGGAATCTCCTGTCTGGGTTAATCAAAGTCATGATTACCCAAATAATTAAACCCTGCAATTATCAAGAATATCTTACGGTGTTTGTAATCCTTTCCTGAGAAACAGGCATGTATCAAAAGGCCTATGTACTCACTAGAGGCTCTGGGCATCAAGCTCCAAATAGTTTCCCCATTCTTCAGCCTCCCCTTAGTGGAGAAGAACAGCTTGTAGTACACTGATATAAAAGTACTGGAAATAATTTGAAGGATGGGAGAGAGAAAACTAACTAGGGAAAAGTGCAGTGATTTCAGAACCTGAGAATAAAGAAAAAAGTGAAAAAAACAAGACTAAAGCAATGCTTTAAAGTTCATTTGTTCTTATTTTGATGAATGAGGGCAGAGAACCTGAAAAGCAAATGAGGCAGTAAAAGCAAATTAGGTAGGAAAAGCAGCACAGAAAAAATGTGGGGGTTTTATTCTGCACGAGAAAAGCAGATTGTGGATTCAGGGGAGTTTTGTCATGGCATTATCATGTAGCCTATAGCCTTCTTTCAGGGGAGTTTTGTCATGGCATTATCGTGTAGCCTATACCCTTCCCACATACTCCTAAATATTAGGAAAGGAGTTGTTCTATAGATTTTTTTTCAAATTTCTCATATCATTGCACATTTAAAATAAAAATTAAGTCACGCTAAAGTTGCTGTGCTCTTAACAAATCAAAATGGCTTAATAATTTATAATGTAGGGATCTCTAAAAGATCTTTCATGTAATTGGAAGAATCTTGACCAAGATTGCCTTCTTGCTAGAAAGTAGAAATATCTCTTTTTTCAGCCTACTGCCTTTGTATAAATCTTGTATAAATTGTGATTGGCTGTATAAATCTTTTGTTCTTCTGACTGGATTATAGACTAAATATACTGAATGAAACTGTAACAAACAGAAAAAATGAGACCTTTTAGTTCCAATTTACAGTATTTTTTTCTCTGTTAGAAATTTAATTTATCATTTTTAGATAGTGAAGAATAATAAAATAAAGAATAGCTTCAAAAACATATAGGAGGACATAGAGTGAAAACGCTTTTTTTTGTTCTTCTGACTGGATTATAGACTAAATATACTGAATGAAACTGTAACAAACAGAAAAAATGAGACCTTTTAGTTCCAATTTACAGTATTTTTTTCTCTGTTAGAAATTTAATTTATCATTTTTAGATAGTGAAGAATAATAAAATAAAGAATAGCTTCAAAAACATATAGGAGGACATAGAGTGAAAACGCTTTTATAACAATAGGCTTCAAAAACATATAGGAGGACATAGTGTGAAAAAGCTTTCATAACAATAGTTACTTGGGTTAAAAAGGTTTTATATTAACTAATCACTTCAGATGAAACATGTCATGCTAAATGTATTATTTATGCTCAGCTTTTATATTCATGATCTGAGAATGACACAATAGCAACTTAGCAAAACAAGGCTGCTGCCATACAGGCTTACCCTTCCTATGCCCCAGGCATGGTCAGGATGCATCAGAAAAGCACTTGCTATTTATATTCCTTCCCAAAGAATTTTATAGCCATTTTACGGGAAAGGGACATAAAATAAGAATCCATTACTTAATTTCTCACTTGAAATTTGACCTTAGCTTTTATGGGAAGGAAAAACCCACCTTGATGCATCTGTGTTTCACTAGTGATTTTGTCAGCTCCATATGGATTTATTTCTTTGATTTCTCTTAGTGCAACAAGCTTTTCCTAAATGGGAAAAAAAAAGGCAGTTTTAATATCATCCATTCTTTTTATCCGCTATAATTTCTAGCACAAACTTAAAATATGTTAAAACAAAATAATCCTTACATGTTACTAGTATGACTGAAGATCATGAAATCAGACAGAAACTAGAATGCAGATTTTGGGACTAGTCTTTTTAGTATTTTAATAGTCAAGATAAATTCTTTTTGCTTCACTAAGTGACAAGAAGTTCATGATGAAATTATTGGTCCCTGAACGTGTATTTTCTGAAAAATCCCTAATTCTGCTAAGACCTGGCCTTCATTCATGCAGAGTCACAGCTCTAAAGATGCTGAAAGATATGCCTTCTAGCACAAAACTACTCTGAATACCACACGAGTAAAATCAACATCAGTAGCAGAGAATGCAGAAACAATAAATTAAAGGTGGTATTCCTGTTTTGCACAAAGCCTGCAGAGTACGAATTCCACACTTACACAGGTAAGTTTATTTTATCACCTCTTTTTTGGGCAACAGAACAGTTGTCTGTTCATTTCAATACACACATGCTACCTTAAAGTTATAAATACCTGCTCTCCATCATGCATAAGTGCATATGTGCAGTTGGTACATCTAACATTTAGAGTAAAGGCCTCGATGTTCACAGCTCTATCTCACCGTGCCCGTAGGTGGCAGAATGGGCATACATGAGACAAGAAATCCTCACCTGAGTCAGCTCATGGGCTAAGCGTCCCAGAACTTCTTGGGTTGCCTCATTAATTTCTAGTTCTTTCATGACTTCCCATTTGCCATTCTGGAACCTCACTGGCATAGAAAATACAATTCTTTCAGGAATGCAAAACTGACCTGAAGAAGAGGGAAAGAAATGACCAAACATATTATTTCTGATTAGAAAACACATCCTCTCCAGTGTCAACATTAAGTCCTACAGACTTGCAAAGGTCTGCAACTATAAGACCTCAGTATAAATGGAGACTGCCTTTTTCAGTCTACAGTTCAAAAAAAGAGTTCCCCTTTTACTACAACTTTGTACTTTAGTTAGATGTACATGAATCATGGCAATGGACCTTTAAAGGTCAGGTAGTCCAACCTTCCTGCCACAGGTAGGAACATATTTAAAACTACATCAGGTTGCTGTGAGCTCTGTCCAACTTGACCTTGAATGTTTCCAGGGATGGGGCATCCCCCACCACTCTGGGCAGCCTGTTCCAGGGTCTTACCACCCTCATAAAAACTTCTAAATCGACCCTCCTTCAGTTTAAAATCATTGTCCCTTGTCCTATAGCAAAAGGTCCTGCCACAGGTAGGAACATATTTAAAACTACATCAGGTTGCTGTGAGCTCTGTCCAACTTGACCTTGAATGTTTCCAGGGATGGGGCATCCCCCACCACTCTGGGCAGCCTGTTCCAGGGTCTTACCACCCTCATAAAAACTTCTAAATCGACCCTCCTTCAGTTTAAAATCATTGTCCCTTGTCCTATAGCAAAAGGCCCTGCTAAAAAGTCTGTCTCCATCTTTCTTATAGGCTTAAGTACTGGCAATGAGGTCTCCCTGGAGCCTTCTCTTCTCCAGGCTGAACAACACAACACTCTCAGCCTGTCCTCATAGGAGAGGGGCTCATGGCCATGATCACACTTTTTTCCCCTCCTCTGGATGCTCTCCAACAGGTCCATGCCCTTCCTGTGCTGCAACATAATTGCTGTAAAAATTGTACATCTTAAAGGAGGGGGGGAATTATTTGTTTCATACAAGGGTTAAATGGCTGTTGTGAAATATTCCATTTATTGGTCCACATAAATACACAATAAAAACATGCTTTTATAACTTAGGTTTCAAAACCAATAAAGAGTTCCTGCACAAAACACATGCATCAGAAATGCATTTAAACTAGAAGATTATGAGACAATCTGCAACAAGACAACATTAACCTAAGAGACACTTTTAAGAATTAAGTATCAAATCACCAGCTCTGGAGAGCAAAATTGCTTAGATTTGGAAGTTCTTATGATGAAACAAACTCACAGCCTCACATGATATTATGGTATGTTTTGCAAGTTTTTCTTAAATTAAAAATACTGATTAAAACACAATGTTATGGATAGGGAAAAGCTGTTATATGTAGAGCAAAGTTACAAGAGAACATGTGAAGCAAAAATAGATTTACCTTGACTAAGTATTCCCACAGAAATGATCTCCCCAGGAGGAGAGCTGTGACACCAGTACTGCAGTACAGTGGCTACTGCATGGGCAGGCAACACTCCTGTACAGCGATGGACCCGGGAACTCAGGGAACTCTGTGCAGATCCAAATTCTGAATGAATCCATTCACTACCAACAAAAAATGGGGATTAAAAAAAGGATGAAAAAACTAAAATGGCTGCAGGAAAAGTAGAGAAAAATTTTTCTAGAGAAAAATAAGAACTAAAGCTGAGGGAAGAAAACAGTCAAAATTTACTCAAACGCTACTGCTGAAGGCATTTACAGACAGAAAAAAAAGGATCTAACAAAAAATGGCTCAAAAGATAATGACAAACACTATTTTCCTATGAAAGTTAGGCCATTAGTCAAGTCCTAACTTCAACTATTACTGTGATTTATATGTATTACTGCCTTATGTAAGAACCCTGACATGAACCATAATCCCCCTGTGCTAGGCTCTGCACAAGCACAGAACAAAAGGAATGCCTGCTTTCAGGTCAATGCTAGGTTTGGACCACAGTGGGAGCTTCACATAGCCAGGCCTGAGTTATGTCACATCTGTACCCATCCTTTCTGTGCTGCTGTTCTTTCCACAGGAAGCTATCTAGCTGCTAGGTATCCTTTTACATATGTTAACAAACTGTTTGTTTTGGGAAACAGACATTAGTGGTCTCAGGCTGTATGTTCCAACTAATTCAGGTACAAATATTTACTACTATTTCAAAGTTTCTTCATGCATACTAAATGCCTAAGTCATTATCTGGACTTTCGTTACTCTTTAGAAGCTGCTCATGATATGACAGAATAGAAACACACTTAAACTGCAGGAAAATATAGTTATAAACAAAGTTGGCAGGAGAATCAGAACTACATACAGCATTAGGAACTACTCAACTTCTTTTAGGGATGGAGTACCTCAGCTTGTGTTTTCCTTTATGTAATCAGTAAAGACAAATCTTGAAATAAAAAAAACCTTTCTTGATGTTTCATTACACAGTTAAGGTAAACATGGATTAAAAGCAGTTATTCAGTTTCACTGTAAAGAAATACATCTGTACTGTACCTATCATAAAGCATATTCAACAACGGACGTGCAAAATTAGCTGGGCCCCAAATAGCAGAGTCATAGCCATAAAGCTTTGCATGAGACAAATCGATGTAGTTAGAGCCACTAATATTGCCCCAAACAATCACATCTTTAACTCCTGTAACAGAGAAAAATACATAGATTAATGAAGAAACAAATACTTTCACAACATAGACTGGACCAGAAGACCTTCAGAAATCCCTGTCAAGATGAATTGTTCTTCAGTTCAGTGTCCTGCCTTGCTAGCAGAAATTATTTGATCTGAAAAATGCAACAAAGTCCTCCAAAACATATGAAACCTCATCACAAGCTGAAAAAAGAACTTTAATTTATATCATGTTATTATATGTGATGGACAAAACCTAGCAAATACTTAGCTGTTAAAAACCAAAACAATTAAAAATCCAAACATACAGCAATGTTCCTTTTAAAATCCTGTAAAAACAAATATAGAATGCCTCATAGTAAAAAACCATTAAGAAGAATAAAATTACCTGCTTTGGTGCAAAAGGATTTTCACAAATAACCTGCTGATTAGCTATTCAGCCTATAAACTTACTTTTCTCCTTTATTATGCTCCAAAATATCCAGACTTGCCATTGATGACCAGTTCTTATCCCTGCAACACTGAAAAAAATCCTGCTGCTGAGCAGGCTGTTGGAGCACATTTTTGCTATGCAGGGCAGAACCATGCAAATACAATCAAGCTACAACAATTGACCTGAGAAAGCAAGACAATTAACCTCAAAATAATACTACAACGTGGTTCTACTTTACTCTCATTATCTGCACAGCAGCATGTTGTCATGTTTGTTCACAGCTAGTCTCTGTGTACCCAAAACAACAATGCACTACAGAGTGCAAATGCAATCTTGTGCAAATGTAAGTCCTAGTCCCTAACCCACAACACAGTTCAGTCCTTCTTAGTATATTTCCAGCGTGAAATACACGCTGTAATGGCAGGGTTACATCACAGAGTTAGCAAGACACCCTGGTATTCTGTACAGCCACACCACTCAGTGGGTGCACTGCTGTCCTTGCATTTGCCCAGGGAGGTTGTGGATGCCCTAACCCTGGCAGACTGGATGAAGCCTTGAGCAACCTGGTCTAGTGGGGAGGGTCCCTGCCCATGGCAGGAGGGGTTGGGACCAGATGATCTTTAAGGTCCATTCCAACCCCTTAACATTCTATGATTTCTGCACAGTGTTCTACAATGAAATATGTACTCCCAAAGGTGTGCTGAATTCCCCAAATGCTATCAGGACACATAAATATTCACCTGCTGTGTTCATATTCAGCTTCCTGGCCAGCATGGCTTTAGCTGCACTTTCCCAGGAGGTCGCAACAGCAATGACATTTTCAGGCTTAATGGATAGGCCGTATGTCATAATCATCATTGCCTTAAGGTTTACAAAGGTTTTTCCTGATGAAACTATTCTGACCTCACTCTTGGCATTCTTCTCAATCAAGGGAGCATACACTTGACAGATCTCACTCATTTCTCTGATGTAGTTCTCAAGGGATTGGACTTCCAGGTTTAAGAGGACATCATCAAGAACAATGATAATATCGGCGTCAAGAAAAGCCTCATCTATGTCAGTGTGCTCCGAAACACTGCGGAGCAGGGGCAATGCCATGTCTTCAGCTTCCATCACAACACTGCAAAGAACTTCCTTAAACTCGTCACTGTCAAGCAAATGGATACTGATTTCTGTGGTCATCCCAAACACTTCTCCATTCGCCAGCAGAGGGATCAGCTGATAACAGATTGGAGCTGAGGCACTGATAGAGAAGGATATAGAAAAGCTACAATTAACAACAATCCACCGCTCCTTTGGAAGTATTACAAAAGCACAAAGGTGTTTGTTTTGTGTTTGATTATGTTTAGACAAACCATTAGTTTGGACCTTTTACTGCTCTTTCTGTCATTTTCTCAGGTTAAGAATTAAAACAGTTGGGTTCTCCTTTCATTTGAATGTTTTTCCATCCCATACACTTCAGTCAACACTGTCACTTAAAAACGTGTCTTTCTTTAAAGATCCACAATTTGTTAAGGTGCTGTGTTAGGGCTACTAGAAATACAGACATTTCTAAAGTTGGAACTGTGAGAGACTCTACCTTCTTAAATATTTTGAACAATGTTTAATGCGAGATAGGTGCACTACAAAATTCCTAGCTTATTCTGTAAATCCTTGCTTTTCCCTAAATGGATCTGGGGTCCAAACGTTGCCTGTTCACACCCCTCACTTAAACTGGTGCACAATGTAACCAAAACAGAAATTATTTCTAAATTATATCCTGATTGCTCATAGTGAGGGGCACAGAATCTAATTCAGATCATCAAATTACAGGGATTTGTGCCTAACTCCAGCTGGTTGCACCCATTATATGTGATAGGAAAAAGTGAACTCTTCCGAAGCTGAGTAGATATTCTCTTTATTCTCACCTGGTGATCCAGATCTGCAAAGGCTTGATATGGCTTTTAATCTCTTCCTCTTCTTTTACAAGTTCAAGATGTGCCTGCAGGTTCTCCTCAGCAATGTCTAACATTTCCTCACTCAACATCACTGAAGTGATGCCATAATATTGCTAGGAGCAAAAAGGATGATCTCTAACCATGTGGCAGCCCAAACCCAGCAAGGTAACATTAGAAACAATAGCTTTACTTTACACTTGAAGGAGGAACACAGAACAATGCTTAAAACATGGGTTTACAGTATTAAAGACAGCTCATTACCTGAGCATATTCCAGAAACTCTTTAACTCCTCCCAGAAGCACAACCTTCCCTCCATGGTCCAACAGCTCTCTCCAAACAATGGGAGACTCTCTGTGTTCCCATCCATTCACTTCACAAATGTCATGAAGCCACTGCTAATGTAAACATCCCCACCAAAAGGTTTTAATGCTTTTTTACATTTGATAACACTTAAAATGTTACAGCTATAAATACTCTTATTGTTTCCTCTCAATACATAACTACAGGGTGTTTGGCAACTTACATACCAGTGTGTGTAAACACAAAGCAAGGCATGGTGAGACACTGATACCTCACCTCAAGGTCTTACTGGTGCTTGATTTTACTGCTGTAATTTTGCTCTCTTGTCTTAGTGGCAATGCACTTTGTGAAGTAGAGAATCATCTCAGGATTCTTATTCAGCCACAGAAGCTAAGTAAGGTGAAGAGGTTAATTGCTATTCACTTAACTGTTCAAGTTATTTGGCTGAGGTGTCAAGCAAAATACAAGAGGTAATAAACACAATAGTACTATCTTGTGAAGTGAGTGCAGTTTTTTCAGATCCTTAAAGTAACCACGGTGTAGACATGGCAACATGTTTACAGCATGGAAAGAAAGGCCCATCCACATTGTAAACAAATATGTGATATTTAACTTGGTACTTGCTGTTGTCATCCTTGGATATCAGAAGTGTTCTCGACAAGAAACAGCTCTGAAGGCATATGAAATCACAGCAAGTAAAAGATTTACAGGCTGAGCTGCCATTTATATATTAAAAACAAAAAAATACACACCAAAAAAACCCACCCCCAAACAACTTGAAGTTTTACTGACAAAGCACAGCTTTAGGCAAAAATCTAACCATTTTGTTGTTAAGACCCACAGGGCTACAGTGGCTCACAACACTCAGCCCATTCTTCCGTCTGGCTCTCACAGCCTGCAGCACCTCTATCCACGCGCCAAACCTCCAGGACAGGAGATCAAACACATCACACAGATAGCACATTTGTCGCTTTGTAGAGCACTGGGGCACCTACCAGCGCCTTGCCTCGCCACCCCTTACCTCCCACTCCTCAGGCTGCTGAGTGACCTTGCGAACCCTGAAGTATGGCAGGTTAGCCTGCAGGTAGTCAGCCAGCTGTTCTGCTTGGGCATAGCGAGGGCAGTTTGCTCTGCCTGCGAACACAGCAACAAGAGCGCAAAGGGGTGGGATGGTGGCGCCGAGCACGCCCAGGCTGTGTGCGGAGCAGTTCTGGGGGACACGGCCGCGCC